TCAGGCGACGGGCAATCCACTGGATACGCTCACACGTGACTTCGAAGAAGAAGATAGGCAGCGAGCAGTAGCAGCGCCAGTTGCAGTAACGACGATCAAGATCAAGCCCGCCAACCCACCCCCGTTTAATCCTACGGACAAGACGACTACAGTGAAGGGGTGGCTGTTCGGTGTCGAGGTCTTCTTCACGGCAGCAGGCGTTAACGACGATGCCACGCGTATTAATTACGCGGTTTCGCTTCTTCGAGGTGCAGCGCTTGAATGGTGGCGCCGGACCTTGGAAACGGGGACGACGACAGGTGTGACACATGCGGCAAACGGGACCTCTGCAGCGACTAATCAAGTGGCAGAATCAATCTTTGGTGTGACCACGATACGCACGTGGAAGGAGTGGGGCGCAGCCTTGCGAAACCGTTTCTTGCACGTATCCGCCTCGCAGCAAGCTCGCATGAAGCTGCAAGCCTGGTCGCAGATGGCATCTGTCCAAGACTACACAGCGTCGTTCATGGGACTCGCCGACCAAGTCGATGACAGGTCGGAAGCAGAGCGGTTAGATAGGTACATCAGCGGCCTCAAGTACGAGATTCAATACGAGGTTCGCAGGGGCCGCCCGACATCATTTTTTGAAGCAGTACGGCTGGCGGAATCTACGGACGCACTGATGCAGTACGCGAGAACAGCTTCCAGGGATGGAAACCGTTTTCGTGGCCAGACCCATCGGGCCACTATCAACGCCATACACCCGACCGCCCTCCTAAGGGACCGTGTTACCGGTGTGGGAAGACGGGTCACTACATGAAAGACTGCCCCGAGAAAACGTCGCCGACAGGGAACGACAGGAAGGAGCAGGGAAATGGGAAAAGTCAGTAATTAGCGGGCCCTTTACTGACTATGCTCCGTCGCCCGAACACCATCATCCCCACCGAGTCGTGGTTCCGATTCATGCAATCGATCGCAATCGATCGCACTCGGCCGAATAACGGGGATAATCATGTGGATCACCCTGTGCTGGTCGCTGGCAAGGTGTTAAAAAATAATTTGGAAATGTTCAACGATGGGGGGGCCAGCCATAGCCTCTTCAACTTGGCGAGCGCAAAAAGATGCAAGCTGCAACTTGACAGGTGTCTGCCCGAAATCGACGCCCGCCTCGTGGATGGGACGCCTCTGGCGATAACGGAAGAAACACGGATGGTCATGATCGAATGCGGCGACGATTTCGGCTTCAGCATGAAGTTCCTCGCGACGACGCTGGATGGCTGCGACGTGCTGCTGGGACGTGATTGGCTGCGACGACACAACCCCGTCATCGACTGGACCACGGGATCGTGCAGCATCAACAAGCACGAGGGGTTAGGTAAACTGCCTGCATGGACACCTGACTACATCCAAGCCCCGTGCGTGAAGGCCATCACTATAGCTCGCCACTTCAACAAGGGCACGCAGCTGTTCGCTGTCTGCTTACGCGAGTTGGCAGTCGACACCGACGGAAAGGACATCGAGAAACTGTGTGCAGCTGTACCGCCGAATTTAGCGGAGCTGATTCGACAGTACCCCGACATTTTCCCGGACGATCTGCCACCTGGGCTGCCACCCGAGAGACCCGAAGACCATAAAATCCAGCTGGAACCTGGCGCGCAACCAACTGTTCGGACACAGTGGCGGTTGACCCAGCCGGAACTCGAGGAGCTGCGCCGACAAATTGACGCACTGTTGGAAAAAGGGTTCATTCGGCCAAGCACCTCCCCATTCGCGGCACCGATCTTGTTCACTCCGAAGAAGTGCATCGAATGAGCACATGTGCATCGACTATCGCGCGTTGAACCGGGTGACCATCAAGTCTCGCTACCCAATCCCACGCACCGACGACCTTCTCGACCAACCAGTGGCGGTTACCACCAGATTCGAGTCTTCGCCGACGATTGTCACAAGACTACGTTTCGCACAGGCTACGGGAGTTACGAATTTACGGTGATGCCTTTCGGCCTCACGAACGCGCCTTCGACATTTCAACTGACCATGAACAGGGTTTTTCGCGATCTTCTAGACCGATGTGTCATCGTCTACTTGGACGATATCCTCATTTTTAGCAAGACACGGGAGCAGCACCTCCGCAACCTGGACGCGGTGTTTAGGCGGTTGCAAGAGAACCGGCTCATCACCAAGGGCTCTAAGTGCGAGTTTTTTAAGCAGGAGTTGGAGTTTTTGGGACACGTCATTTCCCGCGACGGCATTAAAATCGACCCGGCGAAAATCAAGACCATACAGGAGTGGAAGTCCCCGACTAATGTCACGGAACTTCAAAGTTTTCTGGGGTTCGTGAATTATGTCCGGCGGTTTATCCCGAATATGGCGGGGATAACCGGCCCGCTGACCGACCTGCTGCACAAGGACAAGAATTTCGTGTGGGGGGAGGAGGCAGAGGCGGCTTTCCAGGAGCTCAAGAATTTTCTCGTTTCCCCTCCTGTGCTGCGCATCGCCGACCCATCGAAGCCGTTCGAAGTCGTAACCGACGCCTCTGATTTCGCCATCGGAGCTGTGCTACTCCAAGATTTCGGGAACGGGCTGCAGCCGATCGCCTACGAATCATGCAAATTGCAGGCAGCCGAACGCAACTACCCGATCCACGACAAGGAGATGCTCGCCATCATCCACGCGTTCAAACTGTGGCGCTGCTACTTGGTGGGCGCCGACGTCACTGTGCGCCGAAGTCCCTACAGTACCTGCGAGCCCAGCCCAACCTCAACCCGCGACAAATTCGGTGGCTGGACTACATGGAGAGCCACTTCACCTACCGCATCACGTACAAGAAGGGGGCGAATAACATCGCCGATGCCCTGACCAGACCGACAGTACAATCCGCTGCAGTACTCATCACTCATTCGAACCCGTTACTTACCGGACTATTCACCCACGGCTACACTACGGACCCGTTCTTCACGACCGGGAATCACCAGCAGGCCACGACGCAGAAGGATGATTATTACCTAAAAGCCGGAACCGACCGGATTTGGGTTCCCGCCTGCCGGCTGTTGCGTGAACTCCTTATCCAGGAGGTCCACGATTCGAACTTCTCCGGACACTTCGGGGTTGACAAAACCCAGAAATTACTGCACCGTCAATATTACTGGCCTGACTCCTCTAACGACGTGCAGCGCTATGTGTCCTCATGCAGGGTGTGCCAAGCCATGAAATCGACACGTCAACGACCAGCTGGGCTACTGCAACCCCTCGAGCCACCCGAACGACCGTGGCAACAGGTGACGATGGATTTCGTCACGGGGATGCCAGCTGGGCCGTCCGGCAACGACGCTGTTCTCGTCGTCGTCGATCGCTTCACGAAAATGGCGCACTTCGCCCCATGCCGAACGACAATCACAGCCGAAGAAACTGCGCGCCTCTTCATCTCAACGGTCGTGCGACTGCACGGCATCCCTTCGGCGATCATCAGCGATCAGGACCCGAAGTTTACATCGAAATTCTGGAAGGAGACGTGGGCGCAGTACGGCACGAAGCTACAATTCTCATCGGCATACCACCCTCAGACAGACGGACAAACCGAGCGAACCAACCAAACCATGGAGCGCTTGATATGGACAAACTGCCCCGACCCTGCCCGTTGGGAAGATTCCCTCGCCATGTTGGAGTTTGCCTTCAACAACGCACCGTCAAGCACGACTAATCACTCCCCGTTCTTCCTGAATTACGGGATGGATCCGACGGTTCCCACAGCAACTTCTCTTGACAACCCCGTCCCGAGATCACATATATTTGTGACCGAACTCCAAAGCATCCGCGAAAAAGCCGCAGACGCAATTTAAAAGGCGAATATTACTTCCCGCAAGTACACCGACCTTCTACGCCGGGAACTCGCCTTGACTACTGGGCAACTAGTGCTACTCGACACGAAGAACCTCAACCTGCCCGGACCGTCGAAACTACGGCCACGATTTTGCGGACCCTTCAGAATTATCAAGATGGTGACACCTGTCACCGCGAAGCTGTTGCTACCAGACGACTGGCGCATTCATGACGCGTTCCACGTCAGCCTCCTTCGCAAGTTCGTACTGTCAAACTATATCTATATGTTATAATCTATGTTGGTAGGCTGTAGTGGGGTAGACAATGTGGGGTACAACCCCTTAGGGTTCTCTACTTGTCCCAAAATCACTCGATAGTCATTGACCCTTCTCCCTTACTTCTAACATGGTATTAAGAGCGATTAGGTCCTTAGGACCACTTTAGGACCGTGTTTAAGGGCCCACCAACCGCTTCCGCCGGTTACCACCCTACCCCGCGCCCTACCCTATGTCGCTCAGCCGTGCACATTGCCTCTGCTGGCCAGCGCGCCACCTGCTAGCAGCCCTCGCGTAGCCTCTGCTGGCCAGCGCGCCACCCGCTAGCAGCCCGCGTGACCCGCCCGCTGCCCGCGTAGCCCGTGCGCAGCCCCTGCAGGCCTGCGCGCTGCCCGCTAGCAGCCCGCAAGCCCCGTCGCGCAGCCCTGCAGCCCCGCATGCCGCCCTCCCTACTGCCGCGGCTGTTTGCTGCACCCACCCGCCACCCGTCGCCCTGCCCCGCAGCCCCGTGCGCCGCCCGCCCTGCTGCCGCGGCAGCGTGCTACGCCTGCGCGCCGCCCGTTGCGCTCCCCCACAGCCCAGTGCGCCGCCCGCCCTGCTAAAGCGGCTGCCTCCTGCACCTGCACGCCGCCCGTCACGCTGTCCTGCAGCCCCGTGCGCCGCCCTCCCTGCTGCCACAGCTGCCCGCCACACCCTGCGCGCGGCCTGCCCTGCAGCCCTGCCGGCCGCATGTAGCCCCGTGCACCGCGTGCCTCTGCCGCGGCTGCCTGCTACGCTCTAGCGTGCCGCTCCTGCTTCTTGCCTTCCATTGCTCTGCATGCTAGTCTTGCGCCGGCAGCTATGGCCACCCTCCGCGTTCTCTCATTCGATGCTGGGGGCCGCCCGATTGAGTTCGAACCCTGGCTAGATGATCTGCACCTGTTCTTAATGAGCGATAGCAAAGACAATGTTTCGCTTTTCGACCACACGTCTGGTGCATCCGTCGCCCCTGCTGCTACAGCTGACCTTAGCGTTTGTTCCCAGTGGCAGACTCGTGACGCTAATGCCCGCCTAGCCATTCGCAACCACCTACCGCTAGCCGAACTCAAGCATTTTGGCGAGCACAAAACCGCTAAGGCCCTGTACGACGCTGTAGTTGCTCGATACTCCTCCCCTGCCACTGCTGAGCTTAGCCGCCTCATGCTGCCGTACCTGTTTCCTGAGTTGTCCACATTTCCCACCGTTGCCGATCTCATCACCCACCTTCGCACTAGTGACACTCGCCTTTGCGCCTCCGATGTACTGGACCCTCCACTTCATAGTTACCCATCTCCCTGACCCGCTTAGCTCGGTCAGGGACCACTTTCTCGCTCGCTGTCCCACCGAGCTCACTGTCGACCTCCTAGAGGAGCAACTCCTTGCAGCAGAGAAGAGCATAGTCGCTGTAGGTGCTGCTCGTGGCGCTCCTCGCACCCCCATCTTTGAGGGGTGCTCTCCCTCTCCCCTCGCCCCCTCCTTCGCTACTGCTGCTGCTGTTGACTTCCTTGGTGCTGAGTCTGCTGGTGCTGCTTCTGCTCCTAGTGGGAGGCGCCGCAACGGCAAGGGCAAGGGAGCCAAGGGCAGTGTAGGTGGCAACGGGGGGGGTGGTGGTGGAGGAGGTGGAGGAGGAGGAGGTGGCGGAGGGGCTGGTGGTGGGAGTGCTGGCGGGAGTGGCAGTGGCAGTGGAGGCAGTGGAGGCGGAGGGGGTGGCAGCGGCAGTGGCGGCAGCGGTGGCGGCCGGGGCGGTGGTGGCGGCAGCGGTGGCGGTCGGGGTGGAGGCACTGGCGCTGGCCAGAGCCAGCAGCAGCAGCAGCGTCCCCAGACATCCCAGCAGCTTCGTGAGTGGCTTGCTCAGCGTGGGAAGTCTGGGGGTGGTGGTCGCTGCCCTTATGTCATTCGCACAGGTGACCGCAAGGGTCAGACGTGCAACAAGTTCCACACCCAGTACCGCTGCTTCTCTCGTCTTGACGACGCCTGGCGTGAGGAGATGGGCGAGGAGTTAGACCGCCCTCGCTGGCATGAGCTGTATCGGGCTGGTGTAGACATTTTTGCTCTTGACTTTGATGCTATTATCTCTGCTATGTATGCATTGGAAGTTAGTGCTGATGGTGACTGTTATCTGTGTATGCCGCCTGACCCAGGTATAGAAGGTGTTGCCTTAGGTGTGAGCGAGTCTGCTCCTCCATGTATAGAGTCAATTGCCTTCTTAGGAGCAAGCGAGTCTGCTCTCTCAGGTACTGCGCCTGCTGAGGCCTTGCACACCTTCACGCTTGACTCAGGTGCTTCCCGCTGTTTCTTCCGTGACAGTACTGCACTCACACCACTCCCAGCACCTGTTCCAGTCCGCTTGGCTGACCCCTCCGGGGGCCCAGTTCTTGCACATTCCTCCACTGTGCTTCCGTGCCCGGCGGTCCCGTCTGGCTCACTGTCAGGTCTCCACCTCCCCTCGTTCTCGACGAACTTGGTGAGCAACGCTGCCCTTCAGGATACGGGGGTTAATACCTTCACCCCTGCATGGCAGCGTGTGGCGATCTGCACGTGTGCACAGACTGGCCGTCACCTGGCCACGTTCACTCGTTGGCAAGGGTCGAGTCTCTACACACTGACCACTGCGTCTCCTCAGGTCGCTGCTGTTGGTGAGGTGTTTGCGTCAGGTCTGGTAGCCTCCCCTTGTGAGTGTCGCTCCTTGTCGCACCAGACTCTTCTCTGGCACCACCGTCTGGGTCACCCCTCCTTGCCACGTCTACGTGGCATGCACCGTCGCCTCCTTGTGTCTGGTCTTCCCAGGTCTCTGCCTCCCCTCCCTGCCTCGCCTGCGCCGCCCTGCCTTCCTTGCGTCGAGGGGCGGCAGCGCACCGCTCCTCACTCCTCCTCGTTCCCCCCGACAGAGGCTCCCTTGCAGACCCTCCACCTGGACGTGTGGGGCCCAGCCCGTGTCACTGGACAAGGCGGCGCACGGTACTTTCTGCTGGTTGTTGACGACTACTCACGTTACACCACGGTCTTCCCCTTGCGCACCAAGGGTGAAGTCCCTGCTATCCTGATCCCTTGGATCTGAGCAGTTCGTCTCCAGCTCCGCGGCCGGTTCCGGTCATACCTTCCTGTCCTGCGTCTGCACTCTGACAGAGGTGGTGAGTTCTCCTCCGACCTCTTGCGGGCCTTCTGTCAGGGGGAGGGCATCGAGCAGTCGTTCACGCTTCCGGGCTCACCGCAGCAAAATGGGGTTGCTGAGCGCCGCATTGGTTTGGTCATGGAGATCGCTCGTACCTCCATGATCCATGCGGCTGCTCCCCATTTCCTGTGGCCGTTTGCAGTCCGGTACGCTGCGCAGCAGCTCAACCTCTGGCCCCGTGTGTCCTTGCCGGACACCTCGCCCACACTGCGTTGGACGGGGGAGGTTGGTGATGCGTCGCGCTTCCGGGTCTCGGGTGCACGTGCCCTTGTCCGCGATACGTCCGCGGACAAGCTCTCCTCCGGCACCATTTCCTGTGTCTTCCTTGGCTTTGTCCCTGACGCGCCTGGCAGGCAGTTTCACCACCCCACCTCGCGCAGGGTCTTCGCCTCCCAGGACGTCACCTTTGACGAGTCGGTTCCTTTCTACCGTCTCTTCCCCTACCGCACTGCCCCTCTCCCTCCCCCGCCCCTTTTTCTCGCTCCAGGTCCCCCTCCGGTAGACCCCCTCCCCCCTCAGGGTCCTGCTCCCTCAGGTGTGTCTCAGGTAGACCCACTCCCCTTGGCTGAGCCTTTGGAGGTCACTTCTGACACCTATGGCCCGGCTGAGGGGGGTGACGTTGCTACTGACGCCCCGGCTGAGCCGGTTACTGTTGACTCTGGTGCTGCTGGGGGTGGTGCTACTCGGGGTGCTGCGTCTGGGGGTGCTGAGCCTGTGCGTGAGGTGCTGGGGGCTGTGGAGCCTGAGGGTGCTAAGCCGGAGGGTGCCGGGTCGGGGGGTGCTGAGTCTGCTGGCGTTCCTCAGGGTCTTGTTTCCCGGCGGGGACCTCTCTCACCACAGCAGCTACGAGAGTGGCTTGCGTGGCGTACCCGCCTGAGACGTCGTGCTGTCGACCCTGGAGTTGGAGACCCTGGAGCTGGAGGTGCTGGTTCTGGGGGTGCTGCTGCTGCGGGTTCTGGGGCTGGAGACCCTGCTGCTGGAGGTGCTGGTTCTGGGGGTGCTGCTGCTGGAGGTACTGAGGCTGGAGACCCTGGAGCTGGAGGTGCTGGTTCTGGGGGTGCTTCTGCTGCTGGTGTTGGAGCTGGAGCTGCTGGCGCTGGAGGCGAGGGTGCTACTGGTGCTAGAGGTACTGCGACTACTGGAGCTGGTGGTGCTGCTGGTACTGGAGGTGCTGGTCGTCCGAGCGCTACTGATCGCGGAGGTGCTCGCACTTTGGGTGTTGGAGCTGCCGGGGCTAGTAGTGCTGCGGACCCTGGAGCTGGTGGTACGGCACAGTTGCGCCTATTCTTCGCTCCGCCGTCTCCGTCGTCCCTGCCGCCGCCTGACACCGTGCTTCGCCAGGTTCTTACCCTCCCGTCTTCTACTGGCCTCCCGTTACAGCCCGACTCTCCGCTGCCTGCGCCGTCTCCTTACCCTGTGCAATCTAAGTCGCCTTCAGAGCGTCGTGAGCCTGCATCACGTCCTGCCTCGCCTGTTGGCACTGTTCGCACTGCTCGTCGTGTGCCTCGTCCACGTCCTCCCCCTGTGCCAGGTGTTCACACTATGGCACTTCGTCCTTCCTCTGTTCCTCTGCGCGTTCCCCCCTGCCGTCTCCTCCTGTGTCTTCTCTGCCTGACGTCCCGGGCCGTGAGTCTGACCTGTTTCGTGCTGCTCACCCTACTGTCACGCGTCTGTTGGCCACTGTTGTCACTGACCCTTCGTTTGAGTCCGCTGCTGCGTCTGCCTTGGTCGCTGAGCTTGTTGACTTTGCTGCTGCTTGTCGTCTTGACTACACTGCTACTCTAGTTGCTGAGTCTGAGTCTGTCTGTCCTCCGTCCGTCGGGGGTGAGTGTGCTCTAGGCACGGACGTCCTTGAGGACAGGCAGGAGGACTTTAACTGTCTTGCCGTCGCTGCGCCTCATCTCGTGGCCATGCTGCTTGCCCCTGAGGGAGACCCAGATGCACTGGACATCCCGACCCCGCGCTCTTACGCAGAGGCAACCTCGGGTGACTACTCCTCTCAGTGGCAGACAACCATGGACGCAGAGATGGCATCCTGGAAGTCCACAGGCACTTACGTCGACGAGGTTCCCCCTCCTGGGGCGAACATCGTCGATGGCATGTGGATTTTCAGGGTGAAGCGGCCGCCGGGTTCTCCGCCTGTCTTCAAGGCTCGTTATGTTGCACGAGGCTTCAGTCAGCGACAGAGAGTTGACTTCTTCCAGACCTTCTCCCCTACCCCGAAGATGACTACTCTTCGGGTGCTGCTGCACGTTGCCGTTCAGCGTGACTACGAGCTTCACTCTTTTGACTTCAGCACAGCTTTCTTGCAGGGCAGTTTGCACGAGGAGATCTGGCTGCGCCGCCCACCTGGCTTCACTGGGTCATTCCCTCCTGGTACCCAGTGGAGCCTCCGGCGGCCAGTCTACGGTCTCCGTCAGGCGCCTCGTGAGTGGCACGACACACTGAAGACGACACTTGCGGCTCTTGGGTTTGCTCCCTCCACTGCTGACCCGTCGCTGTTTCTGCGCACTGACACTTCGCTGCCGCCGTTCTACATCCTCGTGTACGTCGACGACTTGGTCTTTGCCACTGCTGACAATGAGGCACTCGCCTTTGTGAAGTCGGAGCTGCAGAAGAGACATACGTGCACAGACCTGGGTGAGCTGCGCAGTTACCTTGGCTTGCAGATCACCCGGGACAGAGCACGCTGCACCATCACCTTGACTCAGTCACACATGGTGCAGCAGGTCCTTCAGCGCTTCGGCTTCCAGTTCTCCTCGCCACAGTCCACTCCTCTGGCTACTGGTCACTCGCTCTCAGCTCTGCCTTCGGATGAGTCCGTAGAGCCGAGTGGCCCGTACCCAGAGTTAGTGGGCTGCCTCATGTACCTGATGACCTGCACTCGTCCTGACCTCGCGTACCCTCTTGGCCTTCTGGCACGCTACGTGGCTCCTGGTAGACACCGAAAGGTGCACTGGGATGCTGCGAAGAGGGTACTGCGTTACTTGTGCAGTACGTCGGGCATGGGGCTCGTGCTTGGAGGACGGGGTGATGCTCTTCTCACTGGACACTCGGGTTGACGACCAGGCTACACAGCGGTCGTCACAGGGTTACACCTTCAGCCTTGGCTCTGGTTCTGTTTCTTGGCGTTCTACACGCTCTTCTTCTATTCTCAGCTCTAGTTGTGAGGCTGAGATCTACGCCACAGCCATGGCTGCACAGGAGCTACGCTGGCTCACCTACCTGCTGACCGACTTGGGAGAGCGGCCTCGTTCCCCTCCAGTTCTGTACATAGACAACAAGGCTTCCATTGCCTTGTGTCATGAGCACAAGCTGGAACACAAGACGAAGCACATCGCTCTGCGTTACTTCTTGGCTCGAGAGTTGCAGCAGCGTCGTCAGCTTCGTCTCACTCACGTGGACACTCGGGCCAACACTGCTGATATATTCACCAAGGCACTTCCGTCTGGTGATCATCAGCGTCTGTGTCCTCTTTTAGGCCTGGTGCCAGTTTCGTCTCACTTGCTCACCTCGTGACTTTGTTTGTACTGTGATCTATACATACACTTGCATGTTGGGTGTTGTTAGGTAAAGATCACTGTACTGCTACTGTTGCATATATACTTCTGCATGTGAACTGGCCTTGTGGCCCTTTGCTTGTGCTCGGAGTGTGTGGTGATGTTGTGATCCACCCTGAGCTTGCTTTGCTTCTCTTGACTGGTCTTGTGACCCCTTGTTCTCTCCCACTTTGCCTATGGGGGTGTGTCAAACTATATCTATATGTTATAATCTAGGTAGGCTGTAGTGGGGTAGAGAATGTGGGGTACAACCCTTTAGGGTTCTCTACTTGTACCAAAATCACTCGATAGTCATTGACCCTTCTCCCTTACTTCTTACACGTACCAGCGCACCACGACCGACATTGCACGTCAGCAAGCTGCGCCAACGCCACGACCTGTCCCGGAGCCGACTCTTGACCCTTGGAAAATTCTCGCCCATCGGGTCCGCCTCGACGCAGCTGGCCGACATGTGGATTTCTTAATATGTTGGACAGATCGCACCAGTGAGGACGACACGTGGGTGCCATCCGCCTCGCTCGCAACCTCACCACTTCTGAGTGATTATCTGGCGCGCAAGCGTGTTTCGGATGTTGATCGTCTTTCTTAAGGGGGGGGGGGGGGGGGGGTAGTGTAAGGAATGTTTCGAATTCCTTATCGGGGTTGACTGCTTCGCGTACAACCCGATTTTCGGACTTTGCACGTTCGGCCGATTTCAACGCTGCCGAGGCTCCTCGCGTCGCCTTCGGCATTTTCCTATCGCCAAACCTGCTAAACAGGCTAGGCGAAAACGAGAAATAGGCAAAGAGGGATTTCACTAGCAAGCAGTTGAGTACATATAGGAAACCCTAATTCGGGTTGTACTCGCTATAGAGTACCCCACTGCAGGCTAGACAAACATCACATTCTGACACACCCCCATAGTCAAAGTGGGGTACAATCAACACAACAAGCAGGCAGAGCAATAGTTCACAATTATAAGCAAAGCTAGAGGCTATCACAGAGGGCACGTGAGGAGGAGGAGAAACTGTAGGGGCGAGAAGATGGGAGGCGACGGCCGAAGCTGCAGACACACGGGCAGCAGGAGTGCGCAGCACTGTCGCTACCAGGCTAAACCCGGACTACACGGCGACAGACGCAGCTGGCTCACTGTGCTCCCAGGAGTGCTCACACTGTAGCTACCGGGCGCAGAGCCCCGGACTACTCAGGCCACAGGGGGTCGTGGCTCTCTGGACTACCAGGAGTGCTCACACTGTGGCTGTCAGAATGTTATTCTCTAGCTTGTAGTGGGGTGCTCTATAGCGAGTACAACCCATCTAGGGTTTGCTATATGTATCCTCATTGCTGCTAGTGAAACCCTCCTCTTTGCCTAAACTCTCTCTTGCCTAGCTAGGGTTTTCCTAGCTATGGCTCCTCATTCTCGTTCTAGCTTTCACACACTGTGGCTACCGGGCGCAGAGCCCCGGACTACTCAGGCCACAGGGGGTCGTGGCTCCCTGGACTTCAGGCGCTGCGGACGACAAGTCGGCTACCTCCGGTCAACCTCCCCCAGCTGTCCCACACCCCGTTCACACACTCCCTGTTGAACCACTAGCACCGCTCACACGCCACCCCCCTCGTACCACTCCGACGGCTCCAACACATCCACCCCCCTCAGCGGTAGCTGCAGCAGTGGGAGACGGAGGAGGAGGAGGAGCAGGGGACGGCTCACACACACGGCACCCCCATACTCTCCACCCCCAAACCCTAACACAGGAACGCGGGCAGCAGCAGGGGTGGGGCGCCGTCAAAAGCTCGGGGGACGGCATGCAGCACTGGGGCAGGCTGCCCGGGCCGCGCACGGGCCTGGCGCAGGCCGGACGAGCCGCGCGCAGGCTGCCCGGGCCGCGCGCGGGCCTGGCGCAGCCCGTACGGGCCGCGCGCGGGCCTGGCGCAGGCCGTACGGGCCGCGCGCGGGCCTGGCGCAGCCCGTACGGGCCGCGCGCGGGCCTGGCGCAGCCCGTACGGGCCGCGCGCGGGCCTGGCGCAGGTCGCGCGGGCCGCGTCGGGCGACGGGGGGCGACGCGCGGGTCGCCGGGCGACGCGACGGGCTCCGGCGGGGGGCGACGCGACCGTCGACGGGGGAGAAAACCGCCGCGCGCCCGGAGCGCGCGGCAGGCAGGAAACAGCAGGAAACAGCAGCGGAAGCTTCTGGTGGGACCACCCACAGGATCGACCCAGGAGGGTCGACCTGCTCTGATAGCATGTTAAACAGGCTAGGCGAAAACGAGAAATAGGCAAAGAGGGATTTCACTAGCAAGCAGTTGAGTACATATAGGAAACCATAATTCGGGTTGTACTCGCTTCAGAGTACCCCACTGCAAGCTAGACAAACATCACAGTCTGACAAAACCTGCACCCAACCTCGCTCGTCCGAGGTTCCCTCCTAGCCAGGCTAGCCCTACATTAGTCTGTGCATTCATTGTATTCGCAGTTGATTCAGTCACAGCCTCGTTATTCGTTTACCTGCGCACTCTCTTTTACAACCCATAACAACTAACATGTCAATTCCATGCTTATACCAGTACTAGCAAGTTCCATGAATTTACTAGCAAACCCCGGTGCATTTCCATAAAAGTTTGTCGAATAATGCAAAATCTGTCATCCAGGAAACGGGCATCATTATAATATTCTAAATGGGCAACTCTTCATTTAATTTGCACATACAAAAACGGTGCACCAAACAAAATGAATGCGGAGCAAATATGCTGCAGCAGTAAATTATTTTCTGCTGTCAGGTTGCAGATTCACGTAGCCATGGATGTCCTGTAATAAGAGAGATCACAGGATAAGGGACATACAGAAAATGAAGGTGGGGGACAAGGGGGAGGAGAGAGGAAGATAGCTGGAAAAGCAGCAAAGAGGGATACCACGCGATGATGATACAACAAATAAATAAAACAAAGTAAAGAACAGGAGAGAAAAACACTCACCAAGTATCTCTAAAGCCGTGATTCGCCGCTTCGGGTCCTTTACCAGCATCCGGCCAATCAAATCCTTGCATTCCTCCGGCACGCCGGCCCACTTGGCGCTCTTAAAGCTGACCTCCTTCCCCCGGATCGCCTCCGCTAGCGAGCGATTGGACGACGCCCAGAAAGGGGGAACGCCGCACATGGCGATGTACATGACAACCCCGGCGCTCCACACGTCCACCTCGGGGCCATACTCCCCCTGGATGAGCTCCGGTGCCATGTACTGCGGCGTGCCCATCAGCTCCTTCAGTCTCTCTCCTGTTGGTGGGAGGGTGTGTGTGGTGGTGGTACAGGGGAGTTTGTGAGTGTGCGTGAAGGAGAGGGCGAGCAAGGGCGCTCCACACGTCCACCTCGGGGCCATACTCCCCCTGGATGAGCTCCGGTGCCATGTACTGCGGCGTGCCCATCAGCTCCTTCAGCTTCTCGCCTGGGGTTTAGGGTATGGGGATACGTGGGAATGGCATGGGTTATGGGGTTGGTGTGTTTGAAGGAGAGAGCGAGAGCAAGCACTAATTTTAGGGGCCGTAATCCCCGTGGTGCACTGCTGCTCCTAGCAACCACTGCTCCTAAGCACCACTGCTCACTGGAGATATGTCCGAGGATCTGCACCAGCTACCAGCACAGCCTCGCCCTTCCTCCCTGTTGTTTCCCCCCCGCAAGCACACCAAACCAGGTTGCGGGGGGGCACAAGAGCGAGGTGCACCAGCTACCGCAACCAAACCAAACTGCCACCCTTCCCTTCACCCTCTTCCCCCAACCCCACACACACTAAACCAAACCAGATGAAGTTCCTGGAAAGACGTTGCAATCCCAAAGTTCACGACCTTAATATCACTGTTAAGCTGTCTGCTTGTAAGGAGGATGTTTTCGGGCTTGACATCACGATGCACAATGCTGCGGTGGTGGCAGTGCAGCAGCGCCTCTGTGATGGCTTGATGGGATGCGGCACAATGCGGTGCAGTGTGGTGGCAGTGCAGCAGCGCCCCTGTGATGCTTCCATGGCATGTGGCAGTGGCACCATGCGGTGCAGTGCAGTGGCAGTGCAGCAGCGCCGCCGCCTCCAGCTGTAGGTTTACCCCTCGCCTCCCCCTTTCCCCTCACCCCCTCCCACCCAGACCCCGTTCCCCTCACACTTCCTTCCCTCACACCCCTTTCCCACCCAAACAGACACCAAACCAAACCAGACGCACCTTCTTGGAAGAAGGTCGCGATCCCGAAATCGACCAGCTTGATATCGCTGTTAAGCTGTCTGCTTGTAAGGAGGATATTCTCGGGCTTCACGTCGCGGTGCACGATGCCGTGGCGGTGGCAGTGCAGCAGCGCCGCCACCAGCTGCGCGCACAGCCTAGCCCCCGCTGCCGCACTGTAGGGGCCGTCTTTTGCCACTCGGTCGAACAAGTCTCCCCCCGTGCACAGCTCCATCACCATGTGCACGTGCTGTGGTGGGGAGGGGAGGGGAGAGGGGAGGGGAACAAAGAGGTCAAACAAGTCAAACACGAGGGGTGGCAGTGCAGCAGCGCTGCCACCAGCTGCGCACCAGCAGCTGTGTCATACAACCGGACAATGAAGGGCCACCCCTAGCTATTAGCTACCACTCTATCCCTCTGTGGACGTAATAGCTAGTGGACGCTGATGGAGAAAGTAGAACGCTACCACTAGCTATTAGCTACCACTCTATCCCTCTGCGCCCGAACCTATTCCGAACCTTTCACGTACCTTCCTGTCCTCCACTGTGTCGTGCAGCCGAACGATGAAGGAGTGGCCTTGCAGCACGAAGAGAGTATAACGTGACATCTCTGTCCCTGCCCTGTTACCAAGCCTTTCACGTACCTTCCTGTCCTCCACTGTGTCGTGCAGCCGAACAATGAAGGGGTGGCCCTGCAGCATGGAGAGAGTATAACGTGACATCTCTGTTCCTTCCCTGTTACCAAGCCTTTCCCGTACCTTCCTGTCCTCCACTGTGTCGTGC